CAAAAAAGAAAGAAAATGAGCTGAAAAGATTGTCACTTAGGAGAGTGAGAATAGTCACTTGATAGAGTGAAGAGGCAGAAGGGTCAATCACCTTCCTACCTTTGTGATCCAGTTTTGATTCAAATATTCCTATAGTGTATGATTAGTTGTTCGATCAGGCACTTATATATCTTTATAATTCCTTCCAGATAGAATAAAGAGTCCAAGATTATCTAAATCGCCTATCTTCTAGTCAGAGTAATTCATTAATCTAAGTCATTGAGTTCTTAAGCACTTTATGATCGCCTATACCATTCACCTAACTTCCATTGATATCTGGAAGTGCTAGGTAGATTTCCTCCATTGTCATAGACTAGATTAAGCAGTTCTAAGGTTATGCTCCTCCTTCCAGATCTTCATAATCATGCAAGCACTTTTAATTAAGTGGCCAAGTTAACTAAAAGGTTAATTAAATCACTTATCTAGGCACAACACCTCATCAAGGAAACTGAATCGAAACCTTCACAAAAAGATAATAGGAATTAAACCCTTAACTGAGTTAGCTACTCATGCTTATTGAGTTAAACATGAGAGTAACAGAGTACAAAAGATAAGACATAAGTCTAGATCAAAAGGTTAGAGGAAAGAAAGGGAAGATGGTAGCAGGGACAGTTTTTGCTGCTCACTATGGCGAGTGGCGTTTACCACTTGACAGGTAACAGTCTGTCTCCTCGTTCCTGCTACTACCCTATTTCTAACCTACTAACTAACTATTTAACTACTATCATTTGGACTAAATCTAACTACCCAATCTGTAATTTTTCTAACTGCTATTGGCTGACTATTTATAGAGATTTGGAGAAGCTTGGATTGATTGGTTTCTGGCCTTCTTCTCTGCAGTAGAAAGGTGAGGCAGCAACTTGTGGCGGTAGAGATTTATTTATAACTTGCCTGCAGTCTTCTCTTTGGCTACTCCTTCTCTTCAGCCGCAATTGGCCACCTTCCTCTCATCATTGCCTTCTTCTCTTAGTCTTATTCTCCGGTGCAGTGTCTCCAATTTCCAGCCACAAATCTCTATTTCTTCATTCTTTAATCTGCAGCAGCTCAACTAGCAGTAGTAGCAAGCAGCAGCAGCAGCATGCTTCATTCTATCAATGTGTCTCAGCCCCCACTTCAACCCAAATATGTCTGCCTTTTCCTTCCGTGTTTCCTGTGATCACTTGCAATACCATTTCTTACCGGACCGCACTAGCCAATCCATCAATTCAGCAGTAACAGTCACAGCAGGTAAGTAGCAGGTTGTACCCGCTGTCTTTCACATATTCTCCCTCTTTTTCTTCTTCAACTTGCAGCAGCTATAACTTGTAGTGATGGCGAAGCAATTCCTTCCTTTGGAGCAAAAATTCGGCCTTGGCTCTTCCTGATTGACAGCAGCAACAGCATCTGCAGCAGCAACTTGGCAGCAGAGCAGCTGCCATTTCTTCTTCCTCTTATTGAGGAAGTTGCTGCAGAATCTTCCACTTGCATCCATCTGCTATCAATCTTCCTTCCACAGCAAGGATTTCTCCACTTGCTTCAGCTCCGATCAATCCTTCAACAGCTCAATTTCCAGCAGCTTTCGTTCCAGTCCATTTTAATGCCTTTTTGTGCAATTTGATCCTCTTTTATGCTAATATTCCATATTGGCCCTCTAAGATACCTGAATTATAAAATCACCCCAAAAGTAAACTAATCCTAACTAATTGACACTAAATTATAAGTAAAAATGAGTAAGAAATGTCTGCAAAAAGGATATATATTTTTTTGTTATCAATGGAATTGATAGTGTTTTCTACTCCCATCGTTGCGGAATTTGTTGCACCAGATAAGTGAAAGAATTGTTTTTTGTTTGTTGCTATTCGGCATGGCTGGAAAATCCTCCCCAGCCAGTAGCCACCGTTAGTGAATTTTCGCAGTCTTTTTAAGTTTTTTTCTTTTTTTGTATGGGGTGATTTCACCAATCTCCATGGATGCTTCTTTTCACCGAGATTCACTCAATTCCTAGTTGTCGTTGATGTTGTTCGCCACTTAAATCTGCCAGATTCAGATCTGTCGTAATGGAAGTGAAGGGCTGCTTTTAGGGATTTGATTTAATTTGAATTTGAACCGGAGATGATTGGTATGATGAGTAAATTTGGGGTAATCAGCCATTAAATCCATTAAAAAAGAATCATTAAGGGGATGCGAGTTTTTTTAAAAAAAATTCTTAAAACTATCATTTTTTTTCCTGAAATTCTAGAGTGCCACATCTCAATTTTCATTTTGTACTTAAAACGGCCTTTGGCGGGAAAATTTTTAATGTTAAGCTGACACATGGCCTTCTTATTTGCTGCTTAAATTAAGCGCTACGGATTTCTTTATTCAAATTATTTATATTAGTATTAATTTATCTTTGTCCTACCTTAATGTTAAGCTGCCACCACCTTAAAAAATCACACAAAAAATTTAGAACAAAGGCAACTGAAAAGGCTATGATTTAAGTGAAAGAATTGTGGTGGAGTGAAAAGGACTCATTCACGCGTAATCATCAATCGAAGGTTTGAAACTCACTAGATACATGGAACAACCTTAAATATTTTAGGGGTGGGGGTCACCTGTGGCACAAGTTTGTGCCACTTCCTTTAACACTTTACCAAAGGTCGACACCTTTCCAAACTTTCATTCCCCCAACTTAAGTCTTCTGTTAACCTAACGATCGTTAACTGGGTAAAATAAAAAAAATTTATTTAATAAACCACTTCCTTCGTATACGTAAACCTTCCATTTCCACTTTCTCAGCCACTCCAAACACCAATTTACAATTCAATTGTGAAGCTCTACGACTGACATTGTTTTTCAAATTGTAGAGTTTTTCTTTTTACACGATGATGAATCATGATCATGATAAGCAGTCATATATTAGATTTTATGTTCAAAAAAAAAAAAGATAACTTAATGGCACAATTTTTGTTTGTGTCACTAAGATTGCTTGAAAGTGATGATTTTTTCTTTGGCTAGAAAGCAACCATGTCTTCAATTTTTTTTCTTTTCTTTCGTCAGGAAGGGGTTAGGAAGTGTAGTTTGAAAGCAGCCATGTCCTTTTCTTTCATTTTTTCGTTCCTTTTTTTCTTGAAAAAAAAAACCCCATTAATCATTTTTTCGTTCTGTTTTTATGTAATTGAATAAAGTCTTAAGCATGATTTCATCAATTAGGTGCCAAGTTCTTTTGGGGTTTCATGTCCTATTAGTACGTTGACAAAAGCATCTTGATCACTTTTTGTTAATATTTAATTGTATTGAAAACAATCTGAACATGATGCATGGTTGAACACTGTACTACCTAATGTTTCTTTATTGATAAATATTAACTAAAATAGCCTCTATGAGTTACTTGAAGCAGAAACTGAAGGAGAATTGGATGAAAGAAGGGATCTAAATAATGCCTATTTCCATGCATGCCTAAGAGGAAGAAGAATGCATAATAGAATAATTTCATTCACAAATGATGCTCGGGAGATAGAAGATGAATGGATAAAAGTGGAGCAACATTTCCTTGACTACTTTGAAAATTTGTTAGGGAAAGAGGTGATTAGGAAACCAGCTCAGAAGCAGATTTTTGCAACGGGTGGAAAACTCACTGTTCAACAGCAAGTGGAGCTGATCAAAGACTTTACCAAGGAGGAGTCAAGGCAGCACTATTCAACATAGACCACAACAGAAACCCAGGTCTAGACGGCTTTGGCAGTGGATTGTACAAGGAAACATGGGAGGTAACAGGTACTGATATTACTGAAGTTGTTTGAGAATTTTTTCAAACTAGGAAAATTCTAAAACAATTGAATACAACTATAATATCTCTTATACCTAAATGGGATGTGCAACAAAATGCAATGGAATATAGGCCTATATCATGATGTAGTACTCTTTATAATGCATACATAAAATGTTTTTTAATAGATTGAATAGCGTATTACCAGGTCTGGTAGAATGTAATCAAGGAGCATTTATACAGGAGATGAAGATATTACATAACATACTTTTAACTCAGGAACTAGTACGATTGTATATGAGGAAAAATGCGTTGCCTAGTTCTATGATGAAGGTAGATATTAGAAAGGCTTATGACACTGTCAATGGGAGCTTTCTTGCAGAAATGTTAGAGGCCTATGCCTATTCTCTGAAATTCACTGGATGGATAATGACTTGTATATCAACCTGCTACTCACTGAATTTGAATGACTTGTATATCAACCCCACCGGAACTCAGGCTGCAATCGCGTCAATCACATCAAAACCCTCGGTGTACAAGGGTGAGCCAGCGTTCCTCTTTTCGAAGGCTGAAGATGAAGCCCTAGCGGCTCCCTTCAAACTCTCGTTGGTGGGAAAATTTTCAAAAGGTAGCTACTCCCTAGGTATGATAGATCATCGGCACATCCACATACTCTTTGACCATGAAGAAGATTATCACCGGTGTTGGATTAAGGGCATTTGGACGTTTAGATCATCATATGATGCGTGTATTAAAGTGGACTCCCCAATTCAATACAGAGCAAGAATCATCCTTTGTTTCAATCTGGATCGCAGTTGAAGGTTTGCCGATTCACCAATTCAACGCTAAATATTTAGGAAAACTGGCATCTATTGTTGGCATTCCTCTAAAAATTGATGTCCCAACTTTGAATCTCTCGCGCCCGTCGATTGCTAGGGTATGTGTAGAGATAAATCTTTTGCATGAATTACCCAAAAGAGTGTTTTTAGGAACGGAAGAATTCTCGTATTATCAAGAGATTACGTATAAGAATCTGCTGGAGTATTGTTCGGTTTGTAAAAAGGTAGGTCATGGTATAAAGGATTGCCGCCGGAGTAAAGCAAAGACCCCTTTTCTGACTGTTGCAAAGGAATCGATGAAGGAAAAAGAAACTGTAAAATTGAAGGATCCAGCTACTCAAAATTTTCGAGAGTCAAAGGCACAAGACTAGACTGAAAAGGGAGTTGGGCATGGAATGGAATCAAAGGCATCTTCATCTGAACTATCGATCAAGGAAAAGCAGGCTACTCCAATTGATTTAGTGGATCAAAGTCCCTCCAATCTGTCCTCTGAAAAATGGAGAATTACCAAGGAAAAACTTGCAACAATTCTAGAGAATAGCAAAGAAGAAGGTAAGTCGGACTCTTGGGATGTGCCGGATCAAAATAAGAAGCTTACAGAAAGCAAAAACAATCGTCAATGTCTTAGATGATCTGAATGATTATAACAGTGAAGCGATTCAGGAAATGAATAATATTAATATCAAGGAAACGGATGAAGAGGGTCAAGTTGATGGGATTGTGGTGTCTGAAAAAGAATCTGATTCGGATGTTGAGGTGGATAACACTGGAACAGATTTGTGGTTGATTGCGGATGGTGAACGAGCTAAAGATGATATAGTGGTTGGTTGTGATCCTAATTTGGATGAGTATGAAAATGCCCGACTTGTACTCTCTGATGAGGAGGGACAGAAAAACTGAAATTGGAAGACCAAAGGGTTCAACAAAAAAGAAGCAAGTGCAACCAAAGGAAACTCGTAAATCTATGAGACTCAATGGCACCTCATCTTCAAAGGTTTCTGATGAATAGTCAACTAATATGGAATATACACGGAGTCGGGAGCAAGGCTTCTCGACGACGCTTAAGAAATTTGGTTAGACATCTTTCAATTTCTTTAGTTGTTCTGTTAGAACCAATGTTAGCACAGTCATGTATTAAGGAATTGAAACAGCAACTTCGGTTTAAGGACCCTTATGCTTCAGCTAATGGGAAAATTTGGTTTCTTTGTTCATCAGTTTGGTCGACTAAATTGATAGGGGAAACTGATCAAGCTCTTCATCTGGAAATTGAAAATCAGAGGTTAGGGAAACCGGTTTTGATGTCGGTAATTTACGCAAAGTCTTCAAGGCAGGAAAGACAGGGCTTATGAGTTGAATTGCAAGCTTTTAATGATAGAAATCCTGGAACTCTGATATGCATATATTTTACCTATTTATTATATCCCTAATTTGTGATTTTTGCAATATATTTTGAGTACAAATATGCTATTTATGTGATTTTATCTTTAATTGTAGGAATTGTACTCAATTGAAGAATTGTTGAAGTTTTGAGCTAAAATCGAATTAAAAGCAACTCAATGGGAAAGAATTGAAGATTGGAGCGATTGATGGGGAAGAAATTAAAGAGTTTAGAGAATTAGAGGGCCAATGATGCAATTTCAGAATTTTTGTTTGGTTTTTGAAAAAATTGGCCGAGAGTTCAATGGTGCGGCTGATTTCGGATTGGAATTGGATAAGAATTTTAATCCCGATATTATTTGGGAAACAAGTTTTCTTGCTCTTCAAGAAGTAGGGTTTAGCCGGAAGCCTATAAAAGGAGGATTAGGGATTTATTTTTACAACAGAACTGAACCGAAAACTGACCGAAAACCCAAACCCGAACTGCATCTTCTCCACTGAACCTTCACCTCCACCGGAGCTCCCCTTCTTCTCCTCCACGCAGCCCTCCTTCACCGAAACAGCCACCACCTTGCTTCCATAACCACCACCTCTCCTCCATCACCACACACGCAGCACCAACTTCTTCCTCTTCTCCTTGACCATCACCGCCGCCGACCACCACATTCCCTCCTCCTTCACCGGCAGCATCAGCACCCTCCACGCAACTCCAGCTTCTTCTCCTTCACGCACACGCAGCCGACAGCACCATTGATCACCGGTGAAGAGAGCAGCAAATCCGGGGAGTTTTGGCGGGTTTTTTGGCTTCATTCGGGTTTTAAAGTTTAATTATTTAATTTATTTATTTTTATTATGTCTCTAAATATTATTAAATTATTTATAATGTTTAGTGGCTAAATTCTTTTAATCTAGAGCTTGGGTGTAGCCACCGAATTTATTTGGTTTATTTGGTACATTATTATTTGATTTTTCCATTAATTAATATTTGTTATTCTTGTTTTAATTCGTGTAAGTAATTGGCCACTATTTGCATGTCTGAAGATATTAATCGAAGTAGCAAGAGTGGAAGATTAATATTAGTTCGTAGGAATAATAAACTTAGGTTATAAGCTACAAGAGTAAGATTATAACCTTTGCAATATTTGATTCTTAATGGTCTTAATGTGCTTTTGTTAATCCCTATAGTCACAAGAGTAGTTATAGGGTTAATCTAAGTAAGAGAATTATAACACGAGAGTGAATAGTTCTTAATTAGGTGAATCGTTGTGAGATTAATGGAAGTTAAAAGTCAGATATTTGTGAATTGAACTAAACCAAATATTCGGTAGGTGAACCCAATGTCCTAGGTTTTCTTTGTCTGATTATTCGAATTAATATTATTTGCCTTTATTTTATTTATTTATTTTAGTTTTAAATTTTATAAATCTGAGATCATCATTTATCTAGATAATAATAGGAGTAATTTATACCTGGTAATTAGTATTCCTTCTCTGTGGGATCGACCCTGCTTGCTACTTTACTACTAGTAATTGTATTAAGTAGGTAATTAATATTTGACTAGTGTGACGACGGCTTGTCAAACTCCATGGATGATTGGAGGGGATTTCAATGTAATAAGGACTGTGGAAGAATATAAAGGAAATTCCCAACCGGATAGAGGTGCTATGGAAGATTTTAATGCTTGGACTAACAGCTGCAATTTAACAAATTTGGCTCCTCTCGGCAGCATCTATACTTGGTCAGGGAATCGACAGAGCGGGAAAGTGTTGAAAAGACTTGATCGTATTCTTCTTAATCATGATTGGATTAATCTGTTCCAGGCTTCATCGTTGCATCATCTCAATCAGACCACGTCTGATCATGCCCCCCTTCTTATCAATTTCAGCCTGATGTCGAAACCAGACCAAGCATTTTCTGATTTCAGAAAATGTTGATGCGGCGGGAGGGTTTTCTCGATATGGTTTAAGGAAAACTAGGAGCAACCGCTTCTTATGTATGGTATGGCAAAATTTTCAATGAAACTGAGAAGATTGAAAGCACGATTGAAAGTTTGGAACAAGACCGTTTTTGGGGACGTTTTCCAGAACCTCAAGAATGCGGAAAATGATGTATAAATCAAAGAAGAGATTTATGATCAAACTGGTGTTGTAGCTGATAGAATGGCGCTTCATCAATCTCAAGCTCACCTTTTGTTAAAAATAAGAGAGCATGATGATTTCTTGCAACAAAAATCAAAGCAAAAATGGCTTTGCGAATGGGATACTAATTCAGCATTTTTCCATGCGTCTTTAACTGAAAGAAAGGTCCGGCTTGGAATTCATAAAATTAGGGGGCATTTGGGATCTTGGTTGATGCGGAGGGCTGAAATTGAAGAGGAAGCTATTTTCTTCTTCAAGGAATTGTTAACAGCTGAGGAGGTGGATGATCATGAGGAAGTAAGTAATAGACTCTTGATGCATATTCCGGCTATTGTTAATGTAGAGGACAACAACTCTCTTCTCAGACCAGTCACAGTTGATGAACTCAAAGAGGTTGTTTTCAACCTTGATCCTTCAAGCGCTCCTGTGGTTGATGGTTTCGGAGGGGACTTCTATCGACAATGCTGGAATATAATAAGTCAAGATCTCATGGAGGCTTGTCTGGAATTTATGCATGGCATTCCATTGCTGAAAGCAATTGGTAGTACCATTATCACGCTGATTCCGAAAAAAGCTACTGCCACATCCTTTGCAGATTTCCGTCCAATCAGCTTATGTAATTTTCTCAATAAAATCTTCACAAAGCTGTTAACGGAACGTTTAAAGAGGGTTCTCCCTTGTTTGATTTCAGAAGAGCAATCTGCCTTTTTTGGAGGGACGAGACATAGTTGACAATATCCTCATGACGAAAGATCTCCTTCAATTCATGGATCATCCAGGTCAAGGTGGAAATCTTATTTTGAAGCTTGATATGATGAAGGCATTTGATCGAGTCTCTTGGAGCTTCTTGTGATGTATTCTGTTGAAGTTTGGCTTTCATGAGCATTTTGTGAACTTGGTCATATCTAACTTAGAACAAAGTTGGTTCTCTATTCTCTTGAACGGAAGTCCAGTAGGGTTTTTTCAGGCATCCAGAGGAATTAAGCAAGGCAATTCTCTTTCATCTTATTTATTTATCTTGTTATCGGAGGCACTTACTAGGAATTTAAAAAGGCTTGCAGAGGAAGGAAAGATCGCACGATATGGGGCACCAGCTGGAGCGAAAATACCATCTCATTTATATTTTGCTGATGACCTCATTGTTTTGACTAAAGGTTTAAAAGCTTTCTATGCAGCATTTGACTTCTTTTTTGCAGGATTATGAAGCAGCCACCAGACAGTGAATTAATAAGCAGAAGAGTTGTTTTTACATTTTGGAAAATAGTTCATCAGAACATGTGCAATTGGTATCTCAATCGCTTCAAATGCCGCAAGGGAGCTTACCCTTCACTTATTTGGGTTGCAAGCTTTTCAAAGGGAGGAAAAAGAATGAGTATTTCAGCCATCTAGTGGATGCTTTTGACGCAAAGCTGTTAAACTGGAAGAATAAATTTTTTTCGTAAGGGGGGAAGTTGATTTTACTTCGACATGTGCTCTTAGCATTACCAATTCATACAATAGTTGCCATTGAGCCACCAAAAACAATCATCTCAGCCCTAGAACATAAATGCCAAAACTTCCTATGGGGTGAGAATGAAGAAGGCAACAAAAAGCATTGGCGTGCTTGGTGCCATTTAACTACTCCAGTCGTGGAAAATGGTTTAAACATTAGATGCATGCGAGATGTCAAGCAAGCTTTCTCTTTAAAATTGTGGTGGAAGGTAGCTAATTCAAAAGGGATTTGGGCGCATTTTATTGGCTCCTTATCAAACACGGCAAAGCAAAAAACAACCTGGACCAGAATTCAGCGAGTAAATCAGCTTGCGATGCTCAGAACAAAAATTGAAATTAGAGATGGATCTTCCTCCTTTTGGTTCAACAGATGGACTTCCGCCTCTGCAATCTGGAATGATGAGATTTTGCCTCCAGCATCAACCCTAACGGTTCGTGAGTTTTTTCACTCGAAATTTTTTTCCTTGCAGGTTTTTGATGGACTATAGGTGCCTGAAACAGCCTCAAAGCTGCGTGAAATGGACCTTTCTTCACTGATGATTGGGATAGACTCGTGTGGACACCAACGGTGACGGGAGAATTCACCATAGCATCCACTTATCAGGAAATTCACAACACCAGAGAAGTGTTTCCTCCCTTAAACAATTTTTGGAATAAAATTATTCCGATGAAAGTTTTGTGTTTTGTATGGAGACTTTATAATCATTTGCTCCCTTTTCTAGAAATTTTGAAGAAGATGAATTTCATGGTTTATCCATCTAAATGTCTATTTTGCCAAAATGCGGAGGAAAGTATTGATCATATCTTTTATGGTTGTCCGCAAATAGCTGTGGTATGGCATCATTTTGCTGCAGAGTTAGGGGTCTATTCTTATAATCATGTGGGATGATGGAGCTTGGTACAATTATGGCACTCTGTTGGCAGTTTCCCCAATGCGAAAAATCAATTATAATGGTGACACGTTTGTTTTTACTATGCGAAATATGGAAACTTCAGAATAAAATGCTTTATGAAGGTACTTCTTTTTCCAACGAAATGGAAGCAGAGTGACTGTCAATAGTTGGTGGAAAGGGTAACTAAGAGAATCAGAAGCTACAGCACAAAGCACCTCTCCTATGTAGATAGGGTACAACTGATAAATTCAGTTTCGAGCTCTATGTATGTGTATTGGGGATCTACCTTTATGCTGCCAAAAAGTGTAGTAACCAGATTACAAGAATATTTCGAAGTTTCTTCAGGGGTGGTAATGAGACGTGGAAAACAGTATCATTAGTGCCCTGGGAAACAGTCTGCAAGTGTAAAAAAGAAGGTGACTTAAATGTGCGAGATCCCGTAATCTAGAATGAAGCTGCAGTAGCAAAACAAGTGTAGGATATAGCCACAAACAAGTAAGTGTTATGGGTGAATGGGATAAATGAATACTACTTGAAAGGAAGCAGCCTTTGGGATTACCAACCTCCCCAGGATTGCAGCTGGCATTGGAGGAGAATGATGAAAATGAAAAAGAAGTTGAGAGAAGACAGAAATGTTGGAATGTGGAAGATTACAACATACAGAAGGGATACCAGGCCTGAAGACATAAGAGACAGATCGTTAAGAATTGGATAGTGATTTGGAATAAAGCATGCATTCCAAAACATAGTTGTATTGCATGGTTAGGCTGTCATGGTAAAATACAGACAATAGGAAGACTTGCAGAGATGAATATCCTAAATGGCAACCTGGATTGTGCTCTATGTGCAGAAGGAAAAGAGGAAAATGTAAAGCATCTGTTTTTTGAATACTGGTAAGGAAGTCCTTAAAGGTTTGCTGGAATAGCTTTGAATATAAATGTAGAGCATTGCAGCTGGATCAAATGCAGGTCAAAATTGAAAATGGATGTAAATTTCAAAAAATGAAGAAGAAGCTGGTTAGTGGGGCTGTTATTGCATATGTATCTCCCATGTTTGATATGAACGGAACTCAAGAAGATTTAATCAGGAACAAAAACAACTGGTAGAAAGAGTAGCAATGATCCAACAAGAGATGATGTGGAAGGTGTAAGTAGGAATATGTAAATTGAAACAGGATGAGATATTCCCTCTGGTCTTTAATATAAGTCATTTTGATTTGTCCTAAGTTTCACCTATTACGCATTTTTAATTGACAGAAAAACCTTAAAAATATATATTTTAACATTTTTCATATTCTCTTGATTGTTATGAAATATTTTTAAGATTTTTCTGTCAATTAAAAATGTGTATTAAGTGAAATTTAGGACAAATCAAAATGTGTTATATTAAGTAGAGAAAGGATTAGCATTTTTGAACAGAATCTTTGCAGGAATGTATAGTCAGAGACTCAAAGAAACAGTACTAGAATAGAAGTATAGATGATGTACAAAGAAGATCGTTTTTTACTTTTTGGCCTATATAATATTTACAGTTTACCACTTTAATAAAAAGAGCCCAGTATTACTTACCTAAAATGACCCCTTGTAAATAACAAGAGTCTTCTTCCCCAATCCCGGCCAGCGCTGCAACTGTCGGCGAATATCGTGGGCAGCAGGAAACAACTCTTTAAGCCACTGACTCCAGCATAAGGAAGGACTCCGTTGCTTTCTTCTTCATCTCTGTTCTTCTCCCCTTCTCCTTTGATTATTATTTTTTTTTCCAAATCCGTCCAATTTAGTCCACGGATCTGGAATTCAGTTTAGGAGTCCGGTACGTATTCCGAGTCGGAATCCGTGTCCGACAGTGTCGTGTCGGACTCCAGGTAGCTTAGCTTAGATCATAAGAGGGCGGGCATGGCAGAGACTGAGGCGGTGAAGTCAAATCCTCGGCCTATCATTCGCATTGGCCTTTTCTTTATGTCTCATAGTCTCCTTGTCAGGTATTTTTAGCTTTCCTTTTTTCGCATTTTTAATATCTTAATTTTTTTCTTTATGTGGGCTTTTCTGAAGCAGTCTATTATATGCTGATGAAAGTTTAACAACAACTTTTGGTGTTGGGTGCAGTGTTGTTTGCTATGTGGCTGGGATTTTTGCTCTTCTGTTGTTGCCTATTCTCTCCAAGAACACATACATCTCCGAAAATGCCCTTATGCCTGGTTAGTTAACGCTAACTACATATACTTTCCTTACATTTTATACTTCTGCGGTTGTTTCAATGTCACTTTGTCAATTTGAAAAATCTTGCTGGAAAAGTTATTAACAAAAGTAAAATTCACTTTTAGTTATAATTGAAAAGAATGTGTCCTCTTGTTTATCTTATTGCATTAGGTTGGTGGAACGATTATACAATGATACAATGATACCGCCTTCTATTTTGTGGGATTGCCTTGTTCTGACCATGAGTTTTCGGTTCTTAAACCACTAATCTTCAGGTTCTGCGAGTCCCATGCTGTCTAATGATGATGTTTCAGAGGCGAACAGATTTATGAACCAGATTTCAAACCTAGATTCTAGTTTTTCAAGATTGCGCATGTATGCATTTCCTCTCTATTAATCTATAATTCTCAACTCAGAGGCCTGGGGTTCTTGTTTATTTCCAACTAACTTTGCCTTGTTCTTTTGGGATGTAGAGAAGTTCCAAGATTGATAGCGCACCATATTTCAGCCATGGGTGGTGAAGTGAATCATCATAAGTTTGGACCTCAATTGAAGAAACAACATCCTCTACGTTTTTTTACCATTCATGATCCTGGTACTATCCAAGATAACTTTACTTGTTCATCATTGGGTACTAATACAATTGGAATCATAAGAGCTCCTCGAGGGGATGGAAAGGAAGCTATTTTATTGGTGACACCTTATAACTCCTCAAAGATCACTACTGGTGAGGTGTTAGCTCTAGGCATTGGTTATTCTATTTTCTCCCTGCTCTCGCGAGTTACTTGGCTTGCCAAGGATATCATATGGTTAGCATCAGATTCACGACATGGAGAATACAGAGCAGTGACTGCCTGGCTGAGAGAGTACCATACACCTCTATTTGGTGGTTTGGGGAAGTTACAGGATGAGCTGTGCCTTGAACCAAGTAGTTTTTCTGAGGGAAAACCACTTGAAACAATTGATGCCAGAAATTTGGATACTTTTCGACGTGCTGGCACAATGGCTGCTGCTCTTGTTGTCAAAGTTGCAGATACTAGCTCAGAGCTTGAGAAGGATGCTCTTAGTATATATGCTGAAGCATCCAATGGCCAGATGCCAAACCTTGATTTAATCAATATCGTGAACTATCTTGCCGTATATGGGCAGGGTTTACGGGTGAGGGTGGAGAAAATGTACTCTTTTCTGCACTCTCATTGGCTAAAGGGCCTGGGTGGAGTGTTTGAATCATTGGGGAAACTAGCTAAAAGCTTAAATCCTGAATGGAATTTTGACATATCCATTGCAGAATATATTGAAGGCTCCGCTACGCTTGCCAGTTCCCTGTATAACCAGGTATGTAGTAATTGATTTTCTGAAGCACTTGGAAACGCATATAAAATGCCTTTCAGTCAAGGCATTCTTTTCATGTTGTTTCACATTCGGGTGAATGTTGAGGCTTAATCTATTTGGCATTCCACTGAAGCTTTGGAAATTATATTTCTGTTAGGCATTGGGTGTTCCCACTGGTTCGCATGGAGCTTTTAGAGATTATCAAATAGATGCAATAACCATGGAGATCTCCCATCAGATGTCAAGTAATTATAGAAATAGACAAAATGAGTTGCTTACCCGGAGTGGCAGGTTGTGATCTTGTTTTCTTCTTGCATGCATTTAGTTCTTTTTGCATACTATGTGAGGTTGTGGTTATTTTTCCTTCATCCGTTGCCATTTTTTATATATTTGTTTCCCCTTTTACTATCTTCTGTTTTTGCTACCAGATTCACATGTTATTTTCGGGCAATTTGTTCTGCAGTCTGTATCCTTCTCTATTCACAACTGGCTTTGCCTTGTTTTAATCGTGCTTCCATGTCTGTTCTCAGGTTGATTGAAGGAGTGATACGTTCTATTAATAACCTACTCGAGAAATTTCATCAGTCTTTTTTCCTGTATCTCTTGACCTCCCCAAACAAATTCGTGTCAGTTGGAGTCTACATGATTCCTTTCGCCCTGCTCGTTGCTCCCCTCCCTGTGGTTGCAGCTGCACTCTTTTCGGCCGCTAGTCGGATTTCTTCAGAAGGCCAAGTTGCCACATCGACCTCTGTTAAAAATCCCTCCAACAAATTCAGATCTTGGAGATGGCTTGCAGCTGCGAAAACTGTATTCATTGTGCACTTCTGGGGTGCCCTTATGACATTACTTCCTTACTTATCGGGGCAGATACCTGAGTTCACCCCAGCTACCGGCGTTTGGTTATGGATTGTGCTTCCAGTGATAAGCCTACTCTTGTTCACTTTTCCACGTCGTAAGGGTAGTCAGTCTTCCACGGCAGAATGGATGTATCTGAAATCAGTGACAATTGCAGCTGCCTTTATTGGACTTTCTTTAATGTCAGTAATCAACTTTGCAACAGCCGAAATCGGAGCAATCCTGCTGGTTCCTATGTGCTTGATGGCTGCACCATTGAGCATCAAAATTCAGAGCTTGAGAACTATTGTTCAGGGCGCCTGTAATTTGATTTTCGCCTTCCTAGGGTTCCCGCCACTCACATTCTTCGTATTGAAAGGTGCAATACAGGATCTTGAGAGTACAAGCATTGGTGAATTTTGGACATGGATGGTATCCCTGTGGGAATGGAGCAGTGCTACTTATGTTTTTATATGTATGGTTCACCTTCCTTGCTGGGCTTTGTGTGCAGTAACTTTGTTACAGCGTAGTTGATGAGAAAATGTTTGATGTATTTTTTGCCCAATCCTTTTACCGAGGAAACCAGAGGAATTTTGTAAAGTTAGGATTAGCAAAGAGATTGGTGTTCCAAGTAAAATGTGCATGTTCAAAATATACATTTTCTTTACTAATTTTCGTGTTTGTGTTGACAAAACCCAATGATATCTATGAGACAGATGAAACCACTTAGAGTGATAAAGATATCGTCCTCTCTTTTGTGTCATTTCTAATTATACTTTATTTTCCCGTATCAATATAATTGTTTCTCACAGGCACATTCTTTCCTTCTTTCTTCTTCTTCTTCTTCTTCTTCTTCTTTTTTAAAAATAAATAAATAAAAATTTATGGGGTGAACTACGTATTTCTGGATTGAAATCTAGACTCCAGACCAGATTTACTGACCAAAAAAACATCGTTCCATTTTTTAATGGCCGGATTTTTAAACCACTTATTTCTCTGTTTTTTTTGTTTTCAATTACAATTTTAGGATAGAGATTAGAGATATAAGAAATTTAAAATGAATCAAAATTATTCCATATAAACTTAACATTGTAAGCTTGATTCTATAAGACTAAAACCGACCAAAAGAAACATCGTTCCGTTTTCTAATGGCAGGATTTTTTAAACCACTTTTTTCTCTGGCTTTTTTTTCTATTAGGATTAAGATTTAAGAAAGTTAACGTGAATCAAAATCATTCGATAAACATAACGTTGTAAGCTAGATTCTATCTAAGGAATAATGATAACGTTTTTTGATTACTGCATCATAGTAGTAACAAAGATTTTCATCTGATATACATTTTGGAGATAATAAATAATTACCCAAAAAATAAACCTTTACCTTGATTAACCTTTGGCATCATTCATGGAAGGAATCTAGTCAATGTTTTGAACAATATACATCCAATTTTCCTTTTTTCCCCCATAAACTGTAGGAGTAAATAAATAAATTTTTAAAAAAAGTGTTGCTAGTGAAATAAATTATCTAGGTGCTTGTTTGGACGTCAACTTACATTTCATTTTGTCACTTAAAAGTGGAAATTATTTCAAATTGAAAACTAAATGAGAAATGAAAATGTTGTTTGGATGTTGATTTTGAAAAAAAGTATTTTGAACTACATTTTGAAATATTAAGTACAAGTCATCACTAAACAATTAAATACTGTCAATTATAGTCACTGCAAAAAAGAACTTTTCCAAAACAATCACTCAACAACGGAATCCTATTAAATTTGTCACTGAACTATTTGTAGTTTTAAAATGGTCATTACACTAATAAAAAATGTTTCAAGTTGGAATTTAAAATATAAATCAAAAAGTTGTTTGGGTGATTTTTCTTTTCCATTGGGTTTTGTGTTTAAGAGGTAAAATGAGTGAAAATGTAAAATGAATTATATCCAAACAAGGCCAACTAATAATTTTAAAGAGTCTGTATCCAGTGCACCCAGGTGTACCGTATACCCCTTCCTCCCCCCCTCCCCCACCAAACACATGCGCTACATGAGCTCAACTGTTTTCACCTTTACATTAAATGCACAAACAAAATTGTTTTCATCTATTTTACTGTTTTCATCCTCACGCACAAACACACACAAACACACAGTCGACGGAAACTCTCCATTTTATGGCAAATACAAAATTGACCACCACCACAAAATTACACAAAGTCGACGGAGAACCTCCGCTGGAAGACGATTTTGATAACTTCTTCTTCTTTATGCGTTTTTCATTTTGTCAGTTTGTTCTTTTACACACACACACACACACACACACACACATAGACGACGGCGAGAAACCCTACCTCCGGCCATCTCAAGCTCTCCTTCATCTACACATGCTTCACTCGTAAGTATATTACTCCGAGATCCTATTTTTTTTATTATACAGCAATATTTTATGTTTATCCATTAGATCTGAACTTGTTAACCATGCCTTGTTACATTTGATATGTGGTTGCGTTCGCATATGGTTTCTTATTCATGCTTTATTAATTATCCATAATTTTGTTACTGATTATCCACTAGATCTGAACTGGTTATCCATGTTTTCCTACGTGTGCTATGTGATGGTTGTCCATGCCATAATTGCTGGTTATCTACCCATTTCATACTGGTTATCCACAAGTTGTAAACTGGTTATCCAGAAGGTGTAAACTAGTTATCCAGAAGGTGTAAATTGGTTATCCACAAGTTGTAAATTGGTTATCCAGAAGGTGTAAACTGGTTATCTACAAGTTGTAAACTGGGTATCCATGCTTTTTATATATTTGATTCTATGTGGCATGGACAAACTGAACTGGTTATCCATGTTTTTGTGTTTTTTTGTTACTGATTATCCACTATATCTGAACTGGTTATCCATGTTTTCCTGCGTGTGTGCTATGGGGTGCTTGTCCAAACTTTGTTTGTGTTTATCCACCCATTTTATACTGGTTATCCGCAGAGTGTAAACTAGTTATCCGTTGTTAATTGGGGGGTTCGTCCCCATGATAAACTAAATGACTCCCGCGGGTACCGGAATCGCAGGTCACCAACCTGCCCCGGCTGCGCCGCTCCGCCGAACACGCCAATGTAGCTAAGGTAATCCTTTTTTCGTGTGTGTGTAAGGAGAGTGTGTGTGTAAAGAGAGTGTGTTATTGCGTTAAGAGGGGACACATATTATTTGTATAAATCTCCCCGTGATAAACTAAACGACCCGGCTGCGCCGGTGCCCGCGGCTGCGCCGCCCCCCCTGCCGAACACGGCAAATTTCGCAGGTCGCCTCAACGCCTCGATCGCCAAATCCCATTGCCGCCTCAACGCCTCGATCGCCACCAACCGTCGCTCAATAATAATACATTATCACAAAATTTTCAAAATTTGAATGAATTCGGTAATTCATATATGCCGCGTTTAAAAAAAAAAGAAATAGAAAATTGAATTATCTAGCGGATCCACGCTATTCTAAGAGAGTAAAGTACACGCGCAAGAGGTACACGGTGCCCTTAGTGTACCAGATAATTTGCCATTTCGAAAACCAATAAAAAGCCTGGTTTTGTTTTGAATCCCACGTTTTTTCCTCCTCTCTTAATTCTCTTCTCTTCGGTGTTTGGAACATTGACTATGATGAACAAAAACCATTTATTATTTTCTTTCCGGAAGTGAGGAGGCAAAACCCAAAATTTTAACTACTTTGCCAGGGAAAAAAAGGTTAGCCTTTTCCTTTAATTCTCTTTATATGTTGTTCATCATCAGTTTGCTATAGTATGCCGAAATCGGACGTGGAGTATGAATTTTACTAATGGGCGATTTCCATCAAAAAAAAATTCAGTACTTTATCTAACAAAAAAATTATTGATCAATTTAAAATAGCTTAAATGGCAATGCGCCAATGCTTTTGTATAGTTAGTTAGGTTTTTTTTTTTAATCGATACCTGTATATTAATTCAAAATACCTACAATATTACATCGTAATTTCGCATAAGCTAAATTATGTAGATCATGGACATCATTCTTACTGACTTAAGTTAAGGTACAAGATTGAAATGTAGACATTGATTGACGTAACATAATTATTACCTCTTGAGCTTCCGTGGGGAGAGAGTCTGGCCTTAGGTTCATTGTCAGTAGCTCACAATCCGTACCGATGACCACATTTGGTAAGCCAAAATCTGAAACCTGTAAGAGAGCCATGAGCCATGTCATAACTTCAGTTTGAAAAGGTGACAGTGTTGAGAGTTGGACAGATTTAATTTGCATAATAGATATAGTATATAGATATGGATGATTTTTCTTTTTTTCCTTTTTAAAATTAAGTATAGATTTTTGCGGTAGGCAGATTAGTGAGAATGTAGTTCATTTGCTGCAGAGTTTATTTGGGGATGCGGGATTTCTGCAGAGTTTATTAACTGAAATGTTCGGTAACTGTAAACCATATTTAATTGCATTATACTCCACTTTTTATGAGTTGCGGAGATTTTAAATTCGGATCACTTCCATCATTTTAGTTGCTGATGTTTTGGATTAAAACACCAGTTGTGACAAGCCCCAGATCACTTAGTTCCACGGAAGATGAAGGAACTGACAAGCTTCGGAATGAACCTCGCGGACGAAAACAAGGTGGTTTTCTCCTTTGAATTTTTCCCACCAAAGACCAAAAAAAGTTGGTGTCTTTGAGCTGTTTGAAAGAATGGAAAGGCTAGTAGCTCACAACCCGAGTTTCTGCGATATTACGCGGAATGCTGGAGGATCCACGGCTGATATGACAATGGGCATTTCGAACCGGATGCAGAGTATGGTTTGTGTTGAGACAATCACGCATTTGACGTCTATTGATACGCCTGCTGAGAAGATCTATCACGCCCTGGATACTATCAAGAACATGGGGCTTCAGAATGTTTGTGCAGGCGGAAGGAGGATTTGGATGCGCCCTCGACCTCCTGAAGCATATTCGATCTAGACATCGCTGGCTATCCAGAGGCTCATCCTAATGTTATACGCAAAAATGGGGTGCTGCCGGTTAAGGTTTATCAGAATGAACTTGCTTACCTTAAGAGGAAGGTCGATGCAGGAGCTGATCTTATCATAACTCAAATTGTTTCTTGATGCCAATGTTTTCCTCAAATTTGTCAGTGACTGTCGTCCGATTGGCATAACTTGCCCCCATTGTTCCTGGAATTCTCATCATCAACAATTGCAACTTTCTGCGGTTCACAACCATGTGTAAAGCAGCTGAGGTTATATCTGCTTTGGAACCTATCAAGGACAATGAAGAAGCTGTCAGAAACTATGGAGTACATTTGATTACTTATTACTGAAATGTGGAAGAAGATATTAGCCAATGGGATATGAACCTCTCACTTTTATTTACATTTAACATGGACAAGTCTGCTCTAGCAGTGTTAAGGAATCTTGGTTTGATTAATCAGGAGTCCATGGTCCAGCCATCACTTCCTTGGAGGCGCCCAGTGAATATTTCCCGCGTTAAGGAAGATGTTCGACCTATAATCTGGGCTAATCGCCCCAAGAGCTGCATTTTCAAGGACTAGTGACTAGGAACTATTTCCACAAGGGCGATCGTATGATTCCCAAAATGCAGCTTACAAGAAACTTACTGAAGAATGGGTTGTCCCTCTACACAGTGTTCATGATGTATGTGAGAAATTCAAGCAGTACCGCATACTTGCATAGGGAAGTTGGAGACTTTTCCTTGGTCTGAGTTAAATGGCCTTCATCGGGGAGAGAAAGATCTTTTTTTTTTCCTTTTTTTTTTCCCACTTCTCATAACCTATTGATCAACAGGTGACGTATCTTACCACTAAATTGTACCTCATTGTCTCGGGGAGACAAAGATCATCAGCGAGCAATTGGACACTATAAATTCAAAAGGTTTCCTCACCATAAACAGCCAATCAGCAATCAATGTAGCCAAGTCTCCATATGTAGGATGGGGATTAATAATGTTGATTATGTTTAGATTAGTTGCTTCGTGATGATAGGGCCAAAAACAAAAAAATGATGGAACGGCACAGTTCGCTTCTGTAGTTTCTTATTTGCTTTAGTGATTGATGGAATATCTGAACAAATTTGGAAACGCGTAGAATTTATTCATCTCCAAAAGATGTTCTTTTTAGGTTAAAACACCCACTCTACTCGTTTGTGCCGACCCTTCCAAGTGTGGCAAACCATTTTGAAGAAGAAAGATATGTGCCAATTTGAGTAATTGAGAATTGTGTTCTAAAATAAATAAATAAATAACCATTTGGAATTATGAGGTTTCATAGAATTTTGATGGAATAACTGAAATGAAATTCAAGTACAAAATAGGATTTTCAGCAACAATCAGAAATGGAGATGGATGGGTACAAATGTGTTTCTCCTTCCATGCGAAATGGCTTCTAAACCTAGGTAGAATATATACAACAGAATAATAATCCCATCAGCTTTTTTTCTTTCTGTCATAGGATTTGATCTTTTCTACATCTACCACCCAAAAATTAGACTTTTGAAACCTACAGAATGTCAAAGTTGAACAAACAGGAAGTGTCTCCCCAAGAGCTCACTTTTGCCAGCAGCAGAATGGTGCAAAAAAATGTTAAAAAGGAGAAGAAGGAGCTCTCAAACATGGGTTTTAGAGAACTCGAATGAAGCAAAAGAGAATCTGCCTTTTCCATTTCGTAGTTTGCCTTCCCCGTAACTGATGATCTCTCCCCAACACTTCACTAGTTTATCTACCTTCATTTGCAAGTTGTAATGAGCCATCCTTCATCAACTTCAAGCTCAGACTGTTGAACCGCTCTCGAGAATATTGCCTTGAGGCTTTTCTCCAGTCTGTACCAGCCTTCATCATTGTAGCAAATTCTTCATAACTGATGCGCCCATCCTGAACGTTATCCACAATACAGTGAGTTTCCAGTAACAAAAATAATAAGGAACAGGCACAAGGAAATAAACACTCCAAATCTGGGAGAACATCATAACAAGTAGATATATGATCATAAGCCACTCCAAAGTGGTAGCAACAAAGGACAAAAGAAGTAAAAGGCTAAAAGCAATTAAAGTTTCATTTCTGCTCTAAATCATCAACCCATAAATCGGGAAAGCAGGGAACAAATGGACCATTTTCAGATGACAAAATGCAATAGAGCAGAATCTGAAGTTAGGGGCTTTATAAGAGATCAAATACTGTCACTGGATGAGAAAATACAAGCAACCAAAATATGCAGACAAGGAAAATTTCTCCTCCAAAGGACAGCTACAGCATTAAATCTTTGTTTAAGTAGTAGCTATCAGATACTCTCAGACTGGAAAATTATACTGAAAACAGTAAAGAGCAACTTGTTCCATGGTGAAAATTCTGGTAAGCAAGAATCTATTAAAGCCATGTCCTTTGAGTAGTGCTAAAGAATTCTGTATGACACTTACGATTCATAAATCAAGTGTCATAGTTTGGCAAAAAAATATTGTTTTCTTCTTGGCTATGCCATTTCCACCACAATATATCCTGACCCTTCTAAGTTTTTTCAAACCTTTTTCTCCAAACTTCATCTTAGTTGCTCATCAAGTTTAACTTCTGCACTAACATTAGGTGAAGAGCAAGGATAGGGTACACAACAGGTAGCAATGACATCGGAAGCATCTATGTTAAAGCCGAAGGAAAAATAGAATGAATGAATCTTAAACAACGAAAGTTAATGTTTTCTTTAATCTTTCAGGAGGCAGAGAGCAGAACGTTAACTGGAACTTTAAAGAAGAAACAAGAGTGCAAATTTATAGAATGTCACTCACACAAGAAAGACCTACAATTAGCGGACTCGGGAGAGGGCTATGGTTAGCAAACATCATCAATCAAACAGAGTGTTTGTTGATAAGATGGGCTAACATCTGCAGTTCATGGTGCACCACCATGGTGCCTAAAACAAGTGTTACCTTAAATTAAATGGTCAAAAGATTATAATAAATTATAAATAAATATAAGTGCATACGCAAGGTTATGTCACACTCAGTCCTATGAAATGTGAGTGTAGAAGGGTTGACTACACAAAAGCCAGGTCAAATGAGGGAGTAATTTCACCAACTCCAAGAGGCCACTAAACAAGTATAACAACAAATTCAATGGCATGCAGTATGCCAGAGTATTGAATCCTAAACAAAAAGGATGGAGGGTGATTATGTCTAGGAAAAAGATGAAAATATTGCAGGGCATCAATATGTCTCAAGGAGTAGTAGCAAGCGCAGCAACCAGAAATCCAACAAAGAGGCTAGTCTATACAAGGTTCAGATATTGACATAACATCCCATAAAGAAATTTCACACTAATGGAAGACTGAGACTTCAGCTTAGCTTAGAGAGTAATACTGCCATTAATAAGTACATAAAAGCTGACCTTATCTGTGTCAACATCATGCATGATAGCGGCAATTACATCTTCTGTGTTAGCATCACCTTCATCACTCAAGGCATCCCGAAGCTCATCAATCTCTATATAACCACTCTGATTCCTATCAAAAAATGCAAAAGCTTTGTGCAGGTGTTCATCATTCGCCATTTTTCTAATATGAACAGAAACAGCAACAAATTCCCCATAGTTCAATGTTCCGTCTCTGTCCACATCAGCCTGCAAGAAGCAGTTAGAAAATAATCGAGGTATTGCATCTGAAATGACATTTGATAAGCAACGTTTGATTTAGTGATGTGCAAGTTGGAAAGGCAGAGAGCAAAAACCAGGAACAAAGCTCATTCAAATCATGGGATTTAATATCGCAGCTAAAATACTCCCGGTAACATCAGAATAGAAAGCTTCTCACAGAAGTAAACAGCAATAAAACAAAAATCATTCCAGATCTGACGACAACCAAAAAAATGAAGAACACTAACCGATTCCATGAGAATTTGAAGATCGGCATCAGGAATTTGGTGGCCAAGTTTATGTAAACCATTTCTAAGCTCATTCAAGTTAATCTTCCCTCTCTTTCCAACATCCATCATTTCAAAAGCTTCCTTGATTCCAGCCACTTCCTCAACAGATAAATGCTCCGCAACTACCTGCACCGGGAGATATTCCCAAAAGTTTCATAAAGATTATTATAGTGATTATAAAAACGACGACCAAAGAAATTACAAAGAACAACAAAATAGTACAGAGGCTTTTTTTTATTTTTTTGGCTACCTTCAGAGCTCTTTTCTTCAGTTTGTTCATCACAGAAAATTGCTTCAATCTTGCTTTAACAGTCTCTCCTAGTGGCACGTTTGGAGCTTTCTTTGCATTTTGTAACCAGGAATGCTCTGAATTCAAGTATGTTAACCAAAATAAACATTAGAACAGATGAAGTCCCATGTTATATGGATGAGCGATCAGATCTGTTACAGATAAAAGATTACCAAGAACTTGCGCAGCAGTAAGTCGTCTACTAGGATCCGGATCAAGCATTTTCTTTACCAGATCCTTTGCAGTGTCAGAAACTTTAGGCCATGGATCTCTCTTGAAATCAATGACAGAGCGAATGATCGCTTGAGCTACCCCTTGTTCAGTTTCTGGAAAAAAGAAAACAAGCATAAGAAGAGACCCTCAAAACATACAGGATGAACTAATTTTTGAACCTTTAGAGTGAATAACCAAAAGACACTCTCCCAGTATAAAGTCAATAATCACCACTATGCCTACATTCTGGTCCTAACTGTTTTGAAAATATTAGAACCTCAAATTGCATCTGATACAAAAGACTAATCAAGTATGATATGCAGAAAACCAATGAAAAATTTTGCTCATAACCTTTAAATTATAAGGATTCTAAATTCTAAAATACATGGGGCTTTCACTGAATTCACCCTTAATCAAGATGCAGCCCAATGTTTCTTCTAAGGCAACTAGTTAAAGAATTATTGAACAACATGCTACTTGAAAAACTTCAGATAATGTAAAATACATTCAAGATCACTGAACTCCACAATGGACAGTACCTGCCCAGAAGGGTGGAACCCCACATAGCAAGATATACAGGATAACCCCAGCACTCCACACATCAACCTCTGGACCATAATTTCGTTTGAGAACTTCAGGAGCCATATAATAGGGGCTTCCTACTATTTCATTGAAGCGCTCACCTATAAAAGCAGCTCAGAGTTATTGAAACTAAAAAAAAGGAGCAAACAATCCAAAAGAAGCAACATAGCAAAAGAATTTCTTGTTCAGTCAACGACCAAACAACTTTTGTCATGTGAGATGTAGTGAGATAAACCAAGCCCCTAGCTTTACATGATAAAAAGTGCCTCACCAGGTTTAAAGAAAACGGACAATCCAAAATCTATTGCTTTCAAAGGCGATGATTCCTTCTTATTTGCAAAAAGAAAATTCTCTGGTTTGAGGTCACGATGCATCACTCCATTTCTGTGGCACACCTACCAGAATAAAGGAAGACTTATTTTGGGAGAGTGGCATAAAGTTACAAAGCTTTACAGCGCAAAATCTATCAAAAATAAAGCAATTCCTAATGTAAATTCTCAATCAGATATAAACCAATTCTCATGCGCTATTTTCAAAACAAATAAAATAAATCAAGAAGCAAAACTCCAAAGAAAATATGTAGACAGCTGAAGGATTCAAGTTTCGAAGATGCCTAAATATACAGGGCAAGAATATCAACATTGTCACAGATTACATCCATCAGTGACATTTTGCACAAGTGTTTACATATGCCAATAGCACAAAGATTCCATATGCTCAACCACAATCAGAAACTGTCTAAATCTTAAAAGGAATACGTGAAAAGGTTAAACAAAATACAGATCTTTGCATGAACTAAGAGTAACCTAATAAAAGTTGGAGGGACATTAACTTCCAAAAATAATCTAGAAGCCCCCCCAAATTCCAGTGTAACCATACCTGAACTACTTCCACAATCGTCTTCATGACGCCTGCAGCTGCCCTTTCAGTGTAATGCCCTCTTGCTACAATCCGGTCAAACAACTCACCACCCTCACACAATTCCATAACAATGTGAACTGCATCATCATCCTCATAAGTATCTTTGAGAGTAACAATATTAGGATGCTTAGGCAAATGCTTCATAATCTCAACCTCCCTACGCACATCCTCAATGTCCACTGCAGTCCGAAGCTTCTTCTTGGAAATTGATTTGCAGGCAAATTTATCACCAGTCCCCACATCAGTACATAAATATGTAACCCCAAATTCTCCTCTCCCTAGTTCCCCACCAAGATCATATCTTTCATGAATATCATGGCCAGTAGGATGCTTCAAAACTACAAGCTTATTATTAGCACCCCCAGATCCATGATTAGCACCATAGTCAATGGAAAATGGATTGGGTTTGTTCTTCTTGCGACCCTTCTTTTCTTCAGAACCAACTGGAGTTGCACAGCAGTTTCCCATAACTCAAAAGATCCAATCTATTTAACTAACTTGCTTGTTATGGTGCTCAACGTACACTACAAACCCCTAAAAAAACAAAATCAGAAAACAAGAAAATGTCCAATCAGAAACTGAGAACTTTACTGCCCACAACAAACATGAAATGACAAACAAATCAAAGAATTCCAGCTTTAAGCAACACCGCAAGACATAATGATTGAAAAAAACAATAACCAAGAAACGAAATCTCAATGAACAAGATTCAATTAGTCTAACCATTCAGAGCAAGCTATCTCCAAGAAATATGGAAGATGTACAAATCTAGCATTCCCGAGAAGGGGAAAAAAGCAAAAAAATAAAATTACTAAAGCTATATTCTAACCAAAAGAAAACAACCCAGAAAAACTGTTGGTATTCTAATGCCCAATAATGCAGAATCAACTCAAGAATATTTGAAGGGAGGAAGGGGAAAAAAAAAAATTGAGAAATGTTGCTGACGAGAATGAAAGAAAATATTGTTGTAAACTAAAAAGTCACCTGATCTTTTGGATGCCAAAAAGGGAAAATGGAGAAGAAAAAACCCAAATGACTCTTGCAGATCAAAAATGGGGTTTGGTAAAATGAAGAGATTAGGGCGTTACAGATGTGAAATGTCGGGGAAGAGAAATATATTTTCTGGGAAAAATTTTCACATTAGTGTGAATCCCCCATTGAAGAGAGAGAGAGTCAAAGCTCATATATTTCTCATTCTTTTCTTTTTTTTTTCTTTTGATTTTCCCCCTTCCCTCTCTCTCCTAACCCCCTGTTTGTCTCTCTGTGTCTGTCTCAACCTTTGTTTCTCTCCTCTCTTTCTCTTTCTCTCTCTCTCTCCTCAATTTCTCCTTTGAAGTTTGATCTATCCACTTTAGATTTTATCTTTTCCTTTCTTTCTTTCTTTCTTCTTTTTTCTTTTCCTTTTCCTTTTCCTTCTCTTTTAGTAAAATATTACACCCAATATAAACAATCAAAATGGCTATTATTTTGAGTCTGGATCATAATTAATTTAGTGTTTTTTACCTTTTGTATGAATGAAAAATCATGAAATTTACTTTCTGTGTCATTTGCTATTGTCCCTTTTTTCTTTTTGTTTACTTTGAACCTCACAACATATACATTGAGCATAAAGGAGAAAAGGCAAAAAAAATGGTGCATCTGCAAAATTTAGAATAGGACATAACTGACCATTTGGTTTGGTCTTTCACCCTTCATTTGAACTTTTTCAAGTACTTCACCTTAATTCCTTTCCATATAGCACCATACAAACACTAATGGCCTTTTAGCAATGTTTATCAGAACAATTTTGACTTCTTTTGGGCCTTTGGCCTTTGATAAGGCATGTGTTGGGACCATTTGCCATAGTTGGCAACTTGGCATCATGTCTATGACTAGTTGACTCCCTTGATTATAGATCGAAAGTATTAGAAGTGGTATTACATCCGTCCCAAAATTATTATCCGATTTACATTTTTAATTTTAGTATCATTTGAACTAAAAATGAAAATATAAAGTGGACAATAATTTTGGGACAACAAGTATATGAGGTGTTATGAGAACAATGGAAATGATAACATACTGCTCAAAGACAAGGTTGAAGTTGAAGAAAGGCTTCCGGGGGACCGGGGCACTCTTCAGAATTCAGATTCAATTTGAATACACAGTGATGCTCATTAGACTTCAAACGTTTAACACTAATTCTAACATCTTTCAGCTTATTTTGCTGTTTCAGTTAATATTTCAAAATACTCTTTGAATCTTTACAGAAAATAAGGCAAAAAGACGATCAATAAAACTAAAAGCACATTATATTAAACAGCTCCGATGCTGGACCCAAACAACTCAAAACGATTTCGGGCAGATACAGTCTAGATCAAGTTCCAAGCCAGATTACATAACACACTGACTTCGTATTCTAGTAGAGTCGATCTCCCGTTTTCAAACAAGCTTATCATAAGAAAAGATGTTATTTAAGTCGAAACAGCAAAACAAAGGAAGAAAGTATTAAGCATAGCGGTTACACAGCATTACCATTCTCTGCTACCATCCTAAGATCAAGAATATCTTAAATCAAACGAACATCAACAACTCCGGCCGACTGAATACATTCTTCTCTTCATCACCCAGCATGGGATAAGAAGCCACAAGGGCATCCTGAGCGCCGATATATAATGAGTTGTAGATCTTCCAATACACTTCCCTCACCTTCCTAGCAGGATGAAACAACCCTTGGAGACAGTAGTTAAGGACAACCGCTGCTCCTAATGCAACCCTCATCCCTTCAATGGCTTCCATCACAGCGTTGATGACGTGCGGGGATGTCTCAAAAATGTTGGGCCACACATAATTCATTAGATGAATCAATGCATCCTCACAACCAAGTCCAGCAACCCCCAGGGCCATATGCTTTACAGCTGAAGCAGCAGTTTGACGGTGGACCAAGTCTCTATCCATGAGAGCATCCTCTAGCAATGGAGTAACTGCATAAATATAGTCCTTACCCATTTCACCAATGTACTCAAAAAGGAATGACAGCGACTTCAAAACACCGTTCTGAACATTAAGTTCTGGGACACGGTATTCATTCATGAGGGCAGGTAAAACTGTGAATGGAGAACATGTTTCTGCAACAATTGCAATAGCCACAGTGGTGCAGACACGGTTCTGGCGCTCTTGAACTTTGAGATTATTCAGCAATGTAGCGAGCACATCCTGTGGACCAATCGCCTTTGCAATATACCCGAAAGTATTCACTGTTGCACGACGGATACCTTTCTTGTGGGCTTTGAGCATTTCAAGAAGCTCAAAACAAATTCTCATCCATTCTCTTGCAGGTACAAACTCAGCACCTCGATCGGCTATTCGTCCCACGAGGTCAATGCAGTTCTCCTGCACTTTCTCGTGACGATTTTTCAGAATTGGAGTCAACCGAGGAAGTAAATCCTTAATTGGAGGAGTCATCTTAGTCATACCAATAACATTAACAATTGCCTTAAGGGCACCCAATATTGAACCTAAAACTTCTGGGTACTCTTCTCCCAAATACTCATACAAAACAACGCCAAGATGGCCCATGAGCTGTTCTTCTCCACACTGCTTCATCACAACAGCGATCCTGGATATAAGATCTGCCGCTTGTTGCCTGACCTTTGCACTCTTATTATTTAAACGCCATTTGATGGTACCACATATCTGGGGAAGATAAGGCTTCACTCTCTGTCCAAGAGCATTAACAACAGCTCCAAAACCATTGAGCATCACATTCGCATCATCACTGGTTTGCTCTTGGAAGGCATACAGAATACCATCAATTAGCAGCTCTTCTAGACGAGCGTCGATATCCGATGCACCCAGATTTTCGACAACCTTCTCAATCGTCTCCATCACCATCCTTCTATAAGGCTCACTTTCGTCCTTAAGGTCTTCAACAATCCTCCCCACTATATCAGCCACACCAACTTTATTAGCGATCTCAACTGTAGTTTCAACAAGTTGCCTATAATTACGACGGTCCAAAGCCATTCTTCTGACCCAGAAGTTGCGAAAGAATTCAGGAAGTATGTCATTCCGTATGTAATCTGGCTCCACACCTTCAGTGCTTACACACTGCTTCACAACTTTCAGAACAATTTTCTTCATTTCTTCATCAGGAGACTGAAACTCGCGAATCAGAACATGCATCACTTCCTTGGTATAATAACTAGCATAAATTGCATCCATCAAGGGAATGATAAAACCAATAGCCTTCAAGAAGGCAGCCAAAACCTTACCACGATGTGATCTAATACCTTTCCACAAAGGCTTCAATACTGAATCAAAGCTTTCGATACCATACGGCGCAGCTGCCTCGGCAAGAGCAGCAAGCGAGAGAGCAGTGATGGTCCTAACTTTCTGGTTCTCATCATTCAGCCCATGCTCTATGATTTCTACCAGAGACTTCAAGTGTGGAAGAACAGCACAACCTATCAAAATAGCAATCTGCTGTACAATTTTAATACCAGTGTGACGTGCCTGCCAAGACTTCTTACTCTGGCACACTGCTTTCAGGAAAGGCAACAAAGCGGGAATGCCAAGAGCAGATGCAACAACACTGAATGCTCTTGCAGTGGTATTCCGCACATACTCATCAATATTATCAATATCAGGACGCATTGCAGCAATCATAGTTGCCAAGCCAGCTGCCTTGCTGAGATTGGAGATGATCTCTCGTCCTTCTACACGAGCATAGTAATCTTCATCAATCAGCAGAGGCTCAATCACCACAAGAATTTTGTGCACAAATGGACGTACGAGCTCATCCAACTTGTAAAGCACACGGTCAATGACCTTCACCAGTAAATGCCTCTCTTGGTCCTCCAATGTTGGTTGCATAAGCAATGGAAGGATGCGGTTGAACAGTGGCCCGGCACCAAACTCTCTGGCCTTATCAGTCAACTGACGCAGAGCAGTTTTCCTCTGAGGTGGTGTTCCATTCTTAACTTTAAGTAGAAGCTTCATAATCTTTCGCTCTTTCTGATCTTCAGGAGACAACTCATCCTCATTAATATCCTGCAATAAGACACCAAAATACTGGTAATCTTCAGGCTTCATGAGAGGCAGGCCACCAGGCATCTCTTTCGGCACATCAAATGTCTGACCTCTATTTTCCTCAGGTATAAGATATCCTGCTTGCACCATTGGAGTTGGGGTAGTGACCAGCTTCCTGGCAGGAGTTCTAATCGGCACATAAGAGGATGGCGGATCCAAAATCTTATAGCCTTCCTGAGGAAACATGGCATCCAGCTCTTCATCAGTCAATGGTCGATTTCTCTCGTCAATTTCCCTTTCCCACCTCATGCTATTATACTGTTCAGGAGTCATGGCACCACGAATAATTTGACTAGGAGTTGGTGTAGCAAGCTCAATTCCTCCAACGGGAGTCACTCCAGGAGTATATGCAGCAGGGGTAGCATTAGACATTGGAGTAACACTGCCCATCGACGCCGGGGTCTCATCCCACCTTGACCTCTGTCGTTTAGGTGTAGGAGTAGCCATCCCAGGTAGCTTAGGGGTGGCATCCCAAGTCATCCCAGCAGGTGTAGCACCTGGCGTAACCCCACCAGCAGCAGGTGTAGCATCTGAATCAGTGGATCTTCCAGGAGTTGGAGTCTCATCCCATCTATTCTTCTTCACAGAAGGTGTAGCATCCCCAAACCTTCCTGGAGTTGGAGTAGCATCCCACCTTCCAATTCCAGGAGTTGAGTCAGGCAAATCCCAATCAGACCCACCCTTCGCTTTCTTTGAGCTTTCATCTTGTGACTGATCCCACCTATTCCTCTTCTTTGGTTTCTCTGCCTCCTTCTCCTTCTCCTTCACAGCTACCTTACCTTCCTCTGCCTCTTTCTTCTGCTTTTGTATCTCTCTAATAAGCTCCTCTTTCTGTTTCTTCAAAGCCTCTTCTTTCATGACATCAGCATAAGTCCTGACATCAGGAGCTGGAGTCTTGTCCAAAAAAGGATCAACCCTCTCAGGAGAAATCACACGGTTCAACCTCCTCCTCCGATAATCATCTTCCCTGTCAATGATCTTACTAGGCTTATTAAACCCCAAATCATCATCCTTGCCAGCCCTGGGAATATCATTAAGATACTCTTTAGGAGCAGTGTAGGACGGCATTTTCCTAGCTATCTCATTATCTGCAGCTGCATCTACATCCTCATTAACCTCAATCGACATCTCATAACCATCGAAACGATTAGCACTGTACAAGTCCGTGTCAAAAACGACCGAGTTAAGTGCCGCAAGTTCCTTCTCCATCTTCTTCCTCTCCTCCTGAGTTCTCTTAATCTCGTCACTTCCATCCCCGTCCATCTTTTCAATAAATTAGATTATACGAACAAAGCTTTACCCTAGGTTTTCCAATCCAAACAGACAGGCACCTATCAAACAAACAGAAACACATCTTAGCAAATATAATAACAGATTATCAAGATAAAATTACGAAGAAAACGCCAAAACAAAAATTCCAAATACGGTGCGATTATGGTGGGATTTGAACCCTAATTCAAAGCACAGAAAGGGTTCCACGACCAAAAAGCTGCCTGGGATGAATTCGAATTGTAAAATCAATATAACAATCGACAAAGGTAAGGAATAAACGTCGAGAATTCGAACAAGAGGAGAAATAATTACCCGGGTTGCCTGTTGGTTTTGCGACTCGCTTCAGGGAAGAACTAGGGTCTGAAACGAAACACAATTCTACGATACGCGACTGAGTCGGCTCTGGGAAAAAAAAAAAACAAAAGAGAGAAGGATTTGAAGTCGGTTTTGACTTTCTAGTCTGCCCCTAGCTTTTATATATTTGCCTTCCCCTCCCCCGTCTTTCTTTCTTTCTCGGTTTAGAAATATCTAGTTCATTAATTTTAAAATATTTCGTTTTAAAAGTATAATATTGTATATAGAAATATACATTAATATTGAAAAATTTAGAGTCGGTTTATTTGGTGGTCATTGAATTCTCAACAAGTATTGTTTGATTTAGTATTTTATTTGTTTTATTATAATATAAGTTGTATTATTAGTAAAAATTCGAACGTGACAACTATTCTGATCATAAATCCATGCAGCAAAATGACAATATTAAAATAATTGGGGAAAAATAATAGACAAAACTCACTTTCAAGCACCAAATTTAGGTATAATTTTACACCGAACCACCATAAACAAGTTAATAGCTCACTTGACCATTAACTTTTTTATTCAACACTGGTGTTTTGTTATTATTCAACACTGGTGTTTTGTTATGGGCAAAATAGTACACTAACATAATATCATTTTAAAATATAACAATGGAGCCCACAAATCTTATAAAAATAATAATAATAATAATGAAAATCGCCACGCTTTAAATTTGCACAGACAAGGTATTGTTACCATGAAACTAACAAACAAGTCCATAAATGCAGTAGTATCATGATCTATCCTTTTAACTATAGTCTTGTCATGTCGTTTTTTCCGTGAGACAGTGATTCCAGTCTAAATAAAATTTTTAAAAAAACCAGTATTAAACTGTGGGTTAGACTTTAAGATCTTTTAACCAAAATCACCCATGCGATCCAAATTTCTCCTTGACATCTTATTGGCCGCGGAGTGTTGTTTTAGAGGAGGAGGGTTGTTTTGAACTATGATGAATAATGTTTCTTTTTAATTATTTTTCACATATATGTGTGTTCTTTTTGTTCTTTTTTGAACTTTATTTTTACCTTCAGAAACTATAGATTTTAATTATTTTTTATAATATTCTATTGAAATTGATTATTTAGATTAGTAGTTTTTAGTTTAATTTAAATTATGCCACATTGTTCAAATAATAGATCATAATTTAATTAAAACATATACTCTAATACTCCCTCCGTCCCAATTTCAATAGGCTTATACCAATTTCATATGGATTAATAAAAATAAGTTAACTAACAAATTTTACCTTAATCTTCTTTAAATACTTTATAAAGATATTAATAATAGAGTGGTTGGTTGAATTAAGGATACATTAGGACTTGCATTAGAAAAAACACATTCTAAATAGGAAACTAGTCTATTTAGTGGGACACTCTTTAATAGAAAGGTTGTCTATTGAATTTGGATAGAGGGAGTATATAATATAATTTTGTTTAAAACCCAAACCTCAAAGTAATAAGAAGAATAATATCCAATGACTTGATAATATACATTAATCCTTTCACTAAATAAGACAAAAATTAAAACTATTTTTCTTAACTTATTGTCTAATATTATTAATAGTATAAATTTTATGTTTAAGAAGTTCAATTACGCTAGAGTCTAGCGTTATACTAAATGTTTAAAGTTTAACTGAAAAAACAGATAAAAAATTAATGTAAATATTAATTTTACTAAAATAAAAAAGTCCAAAGTGGAAAGAAATTTGTTAGTAGTCAGCCATAGGACTTGTGATAGAAATGACAAAGGTTAAATAAAGAGAATAACTGTCGATTGAAGATTAAATGCAGAATCTGAACATATAATTTAAGGCAATACTCATTTTTTAATTCTTCTACACTTTAAAAATTCATACCACTACTATATTTCTACCAATAAAAGTTGATGAAAGTGAGAACATGAATGTAAACACATTGTACGGTAAACTAGTTAATTTCCGTGTACACTCTAATATTATGTTTTTATAAAACATAAAGAAAACAAATATTAGTAAAAATAAGAAATGATAAATAAATTGACATGGAAAATCATTTAATACTTTTAGGTAACTTGTTTAACATTTATGTTACGAATTGTGAATCTTAAAAATGTTAATCTAATCATACCTACATAATTATCTATCTCAATAATGATTATTATTTTTATTTTAAAGCATTTTGAGTGCAATTAAGAAAGGAATGATGAATGATAAGAGTATCTCTAACCAAAACACTAAAGTAATTTTAGCGTAAAGTTTTCACTCCAATAAATATTGGTGTTATTTTCAATATATTGTAGAGACACAATTAATATGTTGTGTCTATTGGGTATTTTTAATATATTGTAGAGACACAACTAATAGGTTGTGCCTATGGACTCCATATGAAAAGACATTAACGAAAAGTTATGTCTAGGACCATAACTAAGGGTTACGTCTAATCCTTAAGAGTTTCCTGTAACTCTATAAATATGAATCATTTAGATGCTTTTAGTGTACAATGAAATCACCAAATACTTGGAATATTTCTAATGACATTTCTTATCCTTGTATCAGGTTGTTAGTTCACTAAAGTGCATAGTGAAACAACATGATCTCCATTTTATCTCATAGGGAATTTGCCTAAACAATTGCACTGTATAGTGGGCGAATTTAGCCTAAAGGAAAGTAAGTTTACTTGTGACTTGGAGACAAAACTTTTTTTTGTCCTAACTATAAATTCTTTCTCTTGTTCTTTGATCTAGTGCAGCCATTGTTGTCCACTATTCTTGAAGTAGAATTCCAACAATCTTTAGGCTAAATTTTCCTGTTAAACAGTGGCTAGTACTTGAAGAATCAAGCAGGGATATTTTCGTTACACACGAAAATGGTAGAAATGTTGCAGATCATTGGATTTAATGGAAAGGGCAATGATAGGATACAATGGACCTCGTCATCAAAGTAAGAGTTATATTTTACTTGTGAATTGTGACATTTCAAGTTCAAGGTATGTATATATTTAATAAATACATGAACGTAGTGATGAGATCTATGCCTGAGTGGAACATGGTTGTAGAATTCATGAACTTTTGCATGTAAAAGAAATTTACTATGCATTATTTGTTGATTGCCCAAATGTGTGGTTTCTATCAAAATAAAATATTTAATTAATGTGATGATTAATTAAGAAAATATATGTCATAAAAGGTTTGATGGAGAATTTGGTCATGTTTTTATTATGCTTTGAAATGGAAATGCAAAATTGACATTTGATATAGCAATAGTGCTTTGAGTGCATGTTATAAATTTTTATAGAGTCGAAATCTGTTGGAATTTATTATGGGTTTTGTTTGGCTTTGTCGACTTGTTGATCGACTCGAGTAAAGTTGACATAGAAGTTGTCGTTCGTTGATATGTCTGACTATTTGGTTATGTCGACTTGTTCACCCATAGAATTAAAGTTAACAGAAAACTCAACCATATGTTAAAGTGTTTGGCTGTTTGGCCTTGTCGACTTAGTCGTTGCTTGAATAAAATAGATAGAAAAGTCAACGACCGAAACTTAAGAAAATTAAAGTTAAATAAAATAAATTCTTGTGTGCAGAATTTTTGTGAGTGCATCACAAATTAATTATTTGATTTGGGTTAATCAAATAAAGAACTTTGATCCCTATAAAGTGCTAATTTCGTGTATTTGTGTTTGTTACATGGAATATTTAATTGTATAAATGAATTTGTAATTTATATGATAATTTCATGTGATACATAGTATGACAATAGTGATATTAGTTATGAATTTATATCATATGTGTTAATATATGATTTGAAATTCATGTCCTACTATATGTTTGAGTTGTTTATGTCAATAATTTAGGGTTATTTCCCAAAAAAAAAATTAATTAAAATAAATGTGGACAAATTTAATTTAGGATTTTTGAAATTCGAGTTCTAATTAAAATTAAAGATTCGGATTTCGTAAATCCGAGCCTATATTTAATAATAAAATAATAATTAAATAAATATTGTTGAATAATAGCTTTTAAAAATTCTTAAATGAACAGTGTCGTTCGGATTTTCGGAATCCGAATTTAATTAAAAAATAATAAATTGAGGCGCGTAATATTTGAATTCAAATAAGGAGTCCAGGACCTGGACTCCTTAAATAAACATAGTACTCGGATTTACAAAATCCGAGTGTACAAAAAGAAAAAAGAAAAAAAAAATCGAGGCGCGAAATTTTCGAATCCAAAAACCGGAAGTCCGTAATCCGGTTTTCTGTATTCGGATTTTGGAAATCCAACTGCCTTTAATTTTTGTTGGTGGAAGTAGGCTTGTGTCATAAATTAGAGGATCAAAAAATGAATAAAAAAATCCGGAATTGACCAAACTCGGATTAAGGAAATCCGAGGCCACGGTAATTCGGATTTCTAAAATCCGAGTTATTTACGGACTCGGATTTCGTAAATCCGAGTTTAACGTGCTATAAAAGAAAAAAAAATTCAGACAGTTCTCATTCGAGAAATGTGTTGGATTTTCTGTTTTTGCAGCTCAAACAAGGGCGAATTGGAGCTTTTGATGCATTCTTGCCTCTAGATATGTAGGAATCGTTATTTGAAAGAGGTTAGATTACAAAACCATGTTATTTAGTTTAGTTTTGTGTTATTTTGATTGTTAGAATGATGTATGATAGATTAGGGTTTATGTTGGTTGGTTGTTTGGATGTTTTAGGTGTTGATTTTGAGGTTAGAGATGAGAAATCATAGTTATTCATGAGATATGGAAGTTGATTTATAAGTATTTTAGTATTTTATAGGTTTTTTAAATTATGAATGGAGTATATATGGTGTATTTGTTGATTTTGTTATTAAGAAATGATTAGTTATTGATGTTTTTTTTAACAGTTATCAATGGCACGTAATGTATCATACATGCTTAATTTGTATCATACAAGCAAGTATGTGATAGAGAATGGTAGCATCAACACTTTTTCGAATATACCGGATGATGGTTTGTTTGTTGAGGAAAGGTTGTCATATGAGGGACTGATTAGTAAGATTTGTATGACACTTGGTTGGGATCCAGCACACGTGAAAC